CCCCCGGTCCCCGGTGTGGTAGGAGTGGCGGGGAGGGGGGGGGGGGCGGAGATGCTTCCTCCGCCCTCCATAAAGCGCTTTTGAGAGCCCCTGATCATAACATTGCTCCAAGCACAAGACTTTAAGCAAAGCCTCGCACAGTGGGGCCCTGGCCGGGGTCCAGGCTGTGCATGTTAAATGACAGGTGGGTCCAATCCTGTTCCCCTTTTGTACCGGCATAGGCCTTGCTAAGACAAGGGGTCTCATAAAAGTCAACGGGACCAGTGTGCGAACAAAGGCTTCCCCAGTGAAAAAAGGAAAAACTTAAAAAACAACAAATAGTTCTGCAGCGCCTTAAAGACTAACAAAACATGTCCATGGTGTCATGAGCTTTTGTGGGTACAACACACTTCTTCAGATGACCTGAGCGTTTAAAGTCCAGATCCAAGAATAAATAAGGGAAGAGGGGAGGGGGGAAAGAGAGAAAAAAAGTGAATTAGAGTGTTCAAGTTACAAGAAGCTGATAAGGACAATTTGCACCTTGTCTAAGTGCCTATTGTGAAGGTAGTGTGCTAGCCAGGTAATGTCTTTATTCATACCTCCCTGATAGGACTCAAACTTATAAAGGAAGTTCCAACCCTTCCCTGTGTATTTAGCTTGTGGAATTGGTCTGAAACAAAAGGGTGACTTTGAGATCCATTAATGAGCAGGTTAAAGTGTTCTCCAACAGGTTTCTGTGTGTTGCCTTTTCTAATATGATTTGTGTCCATTAATTCATGAAAAAGGGTTGGGGGTCATTACTGCAAATGGTTCTGTAGCTTCCTAAGGAAATTGCTTATTATGGAGTCGGGATGTAATAATAGATTGACTGATTAACCAACAAACAAAAGTGTATAGGTTAATGCTATATAGACGACATGAATTTCCTCCCCCTCCCCTGCAGTAAATTTTTTAGCAGGCTGGCCAGCAACCAGTCTCAGTCCTGGCTTATGATGGGTCCAGGACCTACTCTTGTTGCAGCTCTGCATTTAAAGTGTATTAGGAGCCGGGTGGGCAGGCAGCCCGGCTCAGTTCTGGCTCCCTCCACCCTGGACAAAGACTGCCGCCACCACGCACAGCGGCCTCTGTATCAGAGGCAGCAGCATGGGATGGCAGGGAGCCAGCCTGTGAGGGGAGCTGGTTTACAAACTGGCTCCCTTTGCAGACCAGCTCCCGCTTGGCACCCCACACTGCTGTCTCTGATACAGCGGCAGCAGCATGGAGTGGCAGGGGGCTCCTCAGGAGTGGGGTCAAAGTGCACTGGCTGCTGGCTCCGCCCCCAGGTAATATAGAGTAGTCGACTAACCAATAAGAATTCATGAGGTTAATCAACTATTCAATTAACCAGTATTTAACATCCCTGTTATGGAGAGAGAAAGGTAGCCGTGTTAGTCTGATGTAGCTGAAACAAAAGTGCTACATAGTCCTGTATTTTATTGTGGAGAGCTTAATTTGAATTTTCCTCCTTTTATTTTATACAAGGAAACCAGACAGGTGACTGTGACCCTGAAATCACGTTAGGTGATATTAAAATGAAAGGATACATAATATGCTATCCGAGGTGTTTTAAAAGGAATGTGCAGGATGAGCACTTGACACTGAACACATCACCTGCACCAAAGAAGAAAAACAATTTTATTTTAAATACAAGCTGAGGAAAAGCCTCATTTAAAAATCACGGTTAGTATTAGCTAGATTTTGGGATAAACTGTCATTTTTTCTGAAAACCACAAATCCCAATGAGAAGGGCTCTAGCAAATTCATGGCCATGAGCAGCGTGTTACAGACATGGGCAGTGGGTGACTCTCTGGCTAGGTCCACCCCTTCCACCCGAGGCCCTGTCCCTCCCTCCCCTTTCTCCATAAGCCCAGATAAATACCCTCAGCAGATGCCAGCCCCCACTTCCTGCACATTACAGCACCGGGTTGGTTGCCCAACTTGCCCTCTCTCCCTGCCCCAAGTATCCATGGTGCATGGTGCCCTGGAGTCTGGGTGGAGTCACGTGTTCCCTTCTCCCCCAGCCTCACAGCACTAGACAGCATGGTACCCCCTCAGTCTGGGTGGAAAAGTGGTGTGCAGATTCTGGAGTGGTGGGTGGCCTGGCCCTAGTGCCGGGATCCACCAGCATTGGGCAACCCCAGCTACCCAAGACGGAGCCACCCTAGTTCCAGCCCTAGAAGGCTTTCCTTTCTGGAAGAGGAGTAGTGTCCCTGGGCTGGGGCCCACTGTAGTAAGAGGGGAGGGGGCCTCCAGACTGTGCAGGGGCAGGATCTTGTGGGGCTTTTTGTGCAGGCTCAGCCTTCCCCTGCCTATTAGACATGCTACCCATGACACAGACCACAGCTACTCAACTTTGGAAGCTCTGGGGGCCACAATGATACAACACATGCCAAGGGCCACAGCTTAAGTGTGGTGCATATACATGCAAATATATATGCAAATATATGCAAATAGATTCTTTCACACTGATGGGCATGAATACAAAGATTAAGCCTTAAGCTGTGGCAATGGCCCCAAACCTGGCCAGTGTGAGCCAGTCAGTACCTCTCAGGCTCTGCCCACAAGGCTAAGCAGCCAGCACTTCCCCCAGTGCCCTAGCACTCCCAGCAACTCCTCCCTGGGGGTAGAAACATGGACACCCTGTACCCATCTGTTCCAGCCAGCCCATCCGCTTGCATCTTTCAATGCTCACCCCGCCTGGGAGACGCCTTGACATTGTGGAGCATGTTTCCAGTGGAGGCTGTGTTCAAAGGATCCCACCTGCAGGCTGCATGTTGAGCCTCGCATAAACTCAAACCACATGGTGGGCCACAAACAAAAAGGCCACGGGCAGCACGTGGCTCGTGGACCACATGTTGAGTAGCCCTGGCACAGATTGTGAATCTGGTCGCCACTCCTGCCCCCCATAATCTGTTATGTACTTTTACCCTATCTCAGTAGTTCTCAGTGAGGATCCATGGTGCCCTGGGGGTCCATGAGCTCTTTCAGGAGGGCCATTGAGCTGAAACCTGGTGCCCCAAGTTCTGGTGTCCACTTGTTGGGCTGAAGCTGGGAGTGACTGGGGGCTGAAGCCAAGCCCACCTACTCCCTGGAAGCTGGGTGCTGCCCGGGGCTGAAGCCAGAATCCTCAGTACCTTCTCCCTCCCCAAAGCTAGGAACCATGTGTGACCGAAGCCTTGAGCTCCAGCGCTCTCTGTAGTCAAAAGCCCTGATCACATGGGCAGATTTGGAGGCACAAAGGTGTTGGCTCCTTAAACTGCTGTGCCTTACCCAGAATGGGGCAGTCAGACAGTAGCTCCACCCTCCCCACACACCTCCTCCTCTCTCCCTCCCCAGTACCCCATAAGTCCAGCCTTTTGGCTAGGTCCTAGGAAGGAAGCAGGCCAGCAGTTCCTCTGGCTGGTAGTGCCATGGAGTGGGCAGCTGTGGCATTCCCCTGTCTACTGCTAGTGCCCAGGACTGTGGCAGTTCAGCTCCAAGCCCCCTTTGACTGGTCACACAGATGGTAAGAGCCACCTGCAGCAAGAGGGGAGGTAGGTGCCCTTGAGGAGTAGCTGCCTGGGGGAGTCCTCCTGTCACTCAGCCCCTAGCTGTCCTTTTCCCTGCACCCTGAGTTACATACCTCACTGCGTACAGCTCCTATCCCCTCCTTCCCTAAATCTTCCTTACTCTCCTGCCCACATATAGCTCCTAGCTAACCCCTGCCTGCAACCTGAGCAGCCTCCCAGCCTGCACATAGTCACCTATTCCCCACCTCTTGAACTACACCACTCATCACACAGAGCAGCCTGAGCAGTTTCCAACTTTTTGAGCTGAGTCCCCTCCTTTGATTTCCATTTTTTGGTTGCAGCTCCTCCCCCATCCCAGACAGATTGGGTGGCCTGCTGAGGTGGATCAGGGGATGAATGTGGCACTCTCTCCTGAACTCCGCTGTGCAGAGCTGGAGTCCCAAATCCCTCCCAGGTCCTGCAGATTTTATAGCATGTTGTAGGGGGATCTGTGCAAGAAAAAGGTTGAGAACCCCTGTTCTATACAGATTTCACAGGGGAAAGCAACATTTATTAAATTAGGGGTCCTGACTTAAAAGGATTTGTGAGGGGTGGGTCACAAGGTCATTGCAGGGAAGGGGCATGGCTTTACCACCCTTACCTCTGTGCTGCTGACTTCAGAGCTAGGCAGCTGGAAAGTGGCAGCTGTTGGCTGGGCAATCAGCTCTGAAGGCAGCCCCCCGCTAGCAGCAGCTCAAAAGCAAGGGTGGCAATACCATACCATGTCACCCTTCTGTGCTGCTACCTTCAGAGCTGGGCAGCCAGATAGTGATGGCTGCTGACCGAGGGCACAGCTTTGCAGGCAGCTGTGTAGAAGTAAGGGTGGCA